GCTAGAATTTCTGAAATCCCTTCCAGCTCTTGACTGAGATATTTTTGTTGCCACAGAATAAACCAAGGACTGGTAAAAAACCAGTTGCCCAGGGTAGCGGAAAGGGACGTAAGACAGAGGAGAACTAAAAAAACACCCCAGCATGATACAGGAAAAGCTCCGTCAAAAATAATGAATGTAAATTCGCTGCCTCGGTGGCTGAAGAAACAAAGGATGAGATTGTTGGGCTCTGGAGGTCAGAGCCTTAATGTGCTGTTAATAGCATTTATATCATAAAGCTGCATTGCTGCATTAGCTTTGATTTAGCAACGCCGGTTTACATCAGTGGCGGAAGCGATCCATAAATGCAACTCTGCATCTCCGTAAATACAGTGAAGGGAGAAAGGCTTTGATCACCTCTGGACGATGCAAGGAAGGGGCCGCTGGGCTCGCCTGCGCGCTCCCCAGCGCTCACCCTGCTGTCGCTGCTTTGTCACCCCCCCGTGAGGTGCAAAAGCGACAGCGCGTGGTCTGCGTGGCTCAGCCGCTGGCAGCGCAGACACCCCCGTGGTAGCTCTGCTCCCTCTCCTGCCCCGCTGCAGCCCCCTCCAAAACTCAAGTGTCAGTAGAAGAGACTTTAGGATAAAACAATAAAAGTAATATTAGCAGATTGCTGGGGCCAGGCGGTTTCACTCAAGAGCTCTGAGGGAACTCAGACTTGAAACTGCTGACCTATTCAGTACAATACCACAGCAGCTGCTGAAATGGCGCGGCACCGCAGGAATGGAAGGTGGCAAATGTTACATTCATTTTTAAAAAGGGCTTTTAGAGGCCATCCAGAGACCTGTGGGCTGGAAAGCTGGGCAAGGCAAATTGACGGAAAGTATAACGAAGAGCAGAATAGCTAGATATGTGACAGAATGAGAAAGAGCAAAGTTTGTAGGGCGAGAGCTCAGGCATCGCAAACCTATTCGTGTCAAGACCCGGGCAAATCGGCATATTCATAAAAGACCCAACTGCAATCAAGTGGAGAGTCGCAGAAAGCTGAATGGCAGGTTGATGAAATGACATATGAAAGTCACCAGCAGCAAATACAAAGCAAGGAGTGCAAGGAACACCAACCCAAGCCATACAAAGACCGTCAGAGGCTCTAAATTGACATCGGTCAGGAAGGAAACCTGAGAGTCACCAAGTTTGCTGAAAACTCCAGCTCACTGCTCGAGAGTTGTCAATGAGGCAAAAAAGAGCTCTAGGAATGACTACAGAATGAAGAGGGAAAGAAAAAGTTGCCACTTCTAGGGTACCCCTGCCTCAAACGCGGGGTGCAGCTCTGCACATGCCGAGGAGGATGGAGCAGAATCGGTGAAGGTACAGGAGAGGCGGCACAGGAACACACAGCGGTTTCCACAGGCGGGCAGGCTAACTGCAGTGGCGCTCTTCTGCTCGGTCACCTCAACGGAGAAGGGATGTGAGAGAGGACCCAGCAACTCATGAGCAGCCTGGAGGTGTGAGCAGGGGAGCATTACTCGTCACGTCTGCTATCACAAGGGACGGGCAGCACAACGCAATCCATTGGGCTGGAGGTCTAATACAAAGGAAAGGAAGTACTTCTTTCACATGGTGCAAAATTGAATTATGGCACTCGTTGTCACAGGATGCTGTGAAGGCCAGAATTATAAAAGAATTCCAAAAGGGGTTAGCCAAATTCTTGGAGGCTCGACCCATCTGCAGCTGTTAAACACAATGACCCAGATGCCAGTCAAAAATTCCCTTAACCGCAGTCTTCTCTCGACTGAGCCGGTAATACCACAGAGGGATTGTGCTATGCTTGCCCTGTCCTCACACCCGCTCCCTATGAGTCTGCTTCTGCCGTGAGGTACCCGATTATCTGGGCCTCTGGTCTGAGCCACTACCACTGCATAAGGCGTTACATACGGTGTAAGGTGTATATTAAGAAACTGGAATTTGTTGCAGGTGATGATCAAGTTTGTTCACCTCAGGTGAATGCCTTGCCTTTGGCAGGCCCTTATATCTGATGAGAAAGGCATTTCTGTCCTAAAAATCTATCTATCATGCCCCTGGCAGTCTGTGCCAAAGACCGGCTCTTTCCTGATCTCCCACAGATGCTCTGCTAAATCCATAAACCATGACAGTGGATTACCTTTATCATTGATTTAACTGTCACCACTAAAAGTAGTTAGCAGTCATGAAATAAGCCAGCAACCGTATTTGAAGCGCTGTCCTCCCGAGGCACATATTTCCTTTTATTAGTTCTTAAATTAATTCTCCTTCATTGCATGAAGCATGCCTTATTCTCACTTTGCAGGATGAGTAAAACGGAAGTACTGATCACTTTCTATCTCACACGCCATAATTTTGGACGCTCAACTGCTCTCCCTTCTGCTGCTTCTCCTTTCCAGCTGACGCAGGCCAAGATGACACGACCGATGCCTTTCAGCACGAGGAAGCCCTCTCCTCGCTGAGGTGTGACTGCTGCTCTGGACACGGCGAAGGAGAAGGTCGTGGGTCTGGGGACGAGTTACGCATTGCCTGTCAGAGGGCAGGAGGAGAGGGACGGGTGAGAATCCCTCGCTACCACGGCTGGACCACACTGGCACCAGAGTCCTCGGCTTGGTGTCTGTGCTCGGCTCGCTCCGTGCAAAAACAGCCTGTATTTTTCATTGCTACCAGTCTAGCATCTCCTGCCAGCTCTAAGCATTTCCTTTTTAAAAAAAAAAAAAAAAACAACAAAACACCAAGGCTTGATCATTCACTTTTGGGGTTATGCTAAACTTGCCAGCATCTGTTCCATCTGAAAGGAGGGAAAAAAAAACCCCAATCCCAGACTGGGAAAGAAAGAAAAAGGAACTAGGTACCAAGTTGTAACATGCAAAACGAAGCCAAGAAAAACAGCATCTCGAGAGATATTAAAGACAAAAACAAACGTGGTAAACAGGAGCAGAGACAGATTTCAGAGGAAAGGCAGGAAGACAGTGACTAAAGCACCAAGAGTGAAACAGCGTACACATGGAAACTGAGTCCGGAGTCCCAGGGTTTCTTTGTTCTTGTTTTTCCTACCATTTCACAGAAATCACGATGTTGTCAAGATCCCTCTATACCCAAGGGTCAGCGATGTCAGTGAAAGTTGGTGGAGCTGCACTGATTTATATCCATTAAGAAGCAACTTTCTGAGATTTCCCAGAATTACTGGGGTTTAAAATAATGCCCTGAGAACCCAGATGAAAACAGCAGTTGGGATTATTCTTAAACCAGGTCATACTAAAAGCTAGATTAAAAATAATGAAGAATACCTCCATTATTTTTTAATAGTTGCAAAATGCCTAACTTTGGACAGTCACATTGAAAACAACCCTAGAAACACATGTGCATGACACTTTTCTACCAGTTCCAGAGTCATGGCAAATGCATACAGAGCTCTACAAATTCCAGCTCAGCGAACAACTCCTTTAGAAAGCAAAATAAGTAAATATTATCTCTGTTGCCCCCAAGTTTTTGTTTAACCTTTTGGATTTACCTTCTCACCACTCTCCCCTTCCTTCAAAATGTGATAGGTGGATTTGAAAAGAAAAACTTCAGAATGAGGATCTACACTTTTTTTTTTTCAAAAAACCCACCAGCATGCATTAGGAAGAAAGAAATCCTTTTTTTACCAGGCTCAGCTAGAGGTTGCAAATATTTAGGGGTCCCTTTGCACTCTCCCAGGCACGTGGCCCCACGGGCCCCTTCCCCCTTCCAGCCTCCTGCCACCCACCCCCTTCCCCTCCTTTTGGCCATACTGGGTAAATAACATCTCCACCAGCTTCGGTGCCACCGTCACAGTTGGCAGGCGGCCGCGGTGGGTGCTCTCACAGCTGCTCTTGCCAGGGGCGAGGTGCATCCCCGCCTGCAGCCAGGGCCGTGCCCCGGCGCCCGGCCGCAGCAGGAACCTCGGCCAGCCAAGGCACCTCTGCAGCCCCGCGCACACATTCCTGGCATGACTAAGCCTGCGCCTTTCCAGTATTTTTTTTTTTAATTCTCAAATTATATTTGAAAGGAGAAATGCCAGCACCCCTGGAATCTCTCTCTCCCCCCACCCTGCTCTTCTTCCATCATTGCCTTCACCTCTCTGGGGCCTCTCCCAGAGCAAGGCGACAGGGATGGGGTGCTTGTCTGGCAACGACTAAGCCACACTTGACCATTTTCACTCTGAAGACCTCTCCTGCTGTCAGATTTTATAACCCGATTACTACAGACTTGGGCTAGATTCAGACAGATTGCCTACCAGCGAAAGGCTCAATATCCCATTATCAGATTTGTGAGCCCGCCATTCCTCTTCATTTAGCATGTAATAGAAAGTGTCAGCAATGTCCTACGGACTTTGGCTTTAAAATGAGTCTTAACTATGCAAGTCATATGTATACATCAGGTGAAAATACTCCACAGAATCATCTGCAGGACAACGATTTTAAACATTTTTTATTTAAATATTAAATAAAACACATTGACTAATCATTTTGGTGTACACCTCTCATTTTAACATAAGAAATAAAATGATTGTTCAGTCATGATAAAAAATAAACTATACATCTCAATTAAACCAATCACGTAGTGTCTTTAAATACCCTATTGCATTGCAGTCTGCAGAACAGAACTGTCAAGATATCTACAAAAAAACCCCAAACGTTTAAAATTACCTCTTTCTGCTCCAGCAATAATTCCAAAGAGGTTCTACAGCAATTGGAAAAAAAAAAAAAAATACTATGAAAGTAAAGTGCTTGTCATTGCTCAGGACAGGAAACAAAAGAATCTGTGGCCTTTTGATCCATGGCATTAAACAAAACAAATATTAAATTCTGTGTTTTCAGTATGCGTGCTACCCCTTAAAAAACTGAAGGCAAAGTTGCTGCTTTGTGATGAGCTGGCTTCTTCTTGCCCTCCTCCCCAGCCATCTCCACGTAATCTGTTTTTTTGGGTTTGGTTTTTTTTTTTTTTTGGTTTTTTTTTTTTTTTTTAAGCCACTACAAATGAGCATGAGACTTTGGTGTTTTCTCTGCTGCAAGGCACCACTCATTAACAGAAATTCAACTCTAGCCATTTTCTCTCACTTTGAAGCTTCCAGACCACGTAGCAGCAGTGGCAAGCTGGAGACGCGCCGCTAGAGACACACAGATACAACACACAGATAAAGAGGTCGTTTATGGAGAGCCACAGACAGAGCCACACACCACCTTCAACCCTTCCTACTCCCACCAATTAACCTGGTCGATCTTTGGCTTTTTTCTTTTTTTTTTTTTTTTTAAAAAAAAAAACAAACCTAAACAAACAAAAAACAGGTTATCTATATTATTTGCAAATGCTTAATACTGCAGGTTGCATGAAGCCAAGGTAACTTGAAGGCACCCTGTGTCACACCAGGGAGATGGGTCCTTTAAGCATGTAGACAGATCGCAGCAATTTTCTGACATTCGGATGGCAGCTTCCAGCCGATCTGGCTCGCTGTTTGCTCACCTGCTTCCAAAGTCTGCAGGCCCTACCCTGCTCATTCCCGTAGGAGCAGTCTGTTCTCCCCTCTATACCTAAGTGTAACTTCTATTGACGCCAGCAGAAGTCACACTCTGCCTTGGGAGGGGAGTGGGGTTGATACCAGAAACATAATGTAAGCATATTACAAAATATAAAAAAAATAACTAGTGTTATATAGTTTTCTGCTTCCTATTTATATACACATACAGCATTAAAAACCCATACGAAAAAACTCCTATCTAATCCAAAACCTCATTTTGCTAATATGCCAAAACCAAACCAACCAAAAACAAACACCCAAAGATTGTGCTGTTTCACTCACTTTTAATACAGTTTTGTTCAGAAATAGCTGTACTCCGTTAGAGTAGAATTCTCTTCTAGCCTATTCCTTTTGTCTTTGTCAGTATATAATTATAACCACAATATTGCACATTTCCCCAAGAGTCAGTTCTGTTTGGACCCTGATAATGAAATGCATAAAAACATAATTAGCAGCGGAAATAACAACGTGCAGCACTAAGAAATACCCCTCAGGCAACTTCGTAGGCAACCTCCAGGAGGGCTTTTTAAAAAGAAAAGCCTTCCCATCACCCCACCGGTACTAACGCTTCCCTCCTCAGTGCCTCTGCAAGAACACGAAAAAACTTAGTGTTTATAAAAAGATTCCTACAGATTATTCAGACCCACAAAATAGATGCATTGTGTGCACACGTGTATGTATGCACATACACACACACCACCCCCCCCCCCCCAAACAAACATCCCTGCAAAAGAGCAGACGTTATGCAGTTTGGATCCTGATTATCAAGGGATACATTTTCAACAGATTACTTGCTTCTGTACTAATTAGAAGGGGCTTTTTCTAAGCTTTTCCAGCTGATGTATCAAGCAAGAAGTTCACAGTTTTCATTTAAAGTATACGTATCTGGGAGGTGTGGCATGGGGATGTTGGTGCCTTTAAATAAAATGAGTGTTAACAGGAGAGAAAAAAAAAAAAGCAACAACAAATGGCAATGCTTCCATTTTTGTCTTCTATGAATGCATAATGCTGCATGCCACTGGTTTTCTGTTTATTTTTTTTAAAAGAGGTAATCATCTTCACAAACCCATAAATGAATATTGTGAAAAAGGGAGGCTCTGGTCCCTTCTTTGAAAAGCCTCTCCCTGCTGTGTCACCACTACTGACAGCTGCTAACCTTGCATAACAGCAGAGCTGTATTGGTCTGACTTGAGTACAGTACCGAAGAGTTCTTCCCCAACCACATCCCTCCCTGTCCCCACAAATGCCCCACCCATCTTCCCCATCATTATTTTTCCTTTAAAAAACCCTCAGTTTCTAGTCGTATTTGTTCAGTGCAAGAATAGTAGAAGCAAAAAGACATACATATTGCTTGTTTCAGTTCTATAAAGTTGCTAGCTTTCTGAGCCAGATGGCGTCTTCACATACTTCGAAATTTATTGCTTCTGAGAGTCACTTGTCCACATGACACCAGCCAGCCATGGACCCACACATGCCATGGAACAGCGGTGAAAAGTTCTTCGCAACAAGAGCAGCGTGAGCTACAGCAGCCGGGGCTCTCATTTGACCAGAACAAACTTCCCTAACTGGTTGGAAGTCAGGTCCTCCATCTCACAGTCCCCATGCTGCAGAGAGACAGCATCATAGCTCGGAGACTGTGCAGAGAAACTCTGTTGCTGAGAGAAGGTGGTGCCGACTGGAGAGACGTTGCTGCTGATGTACAGGTGCGTGTCTAGAAGGTGAGCTGCTGACGACACCGGTGACACGCTGACACCAAAGAAATGAGGTTGGAGCAGTTGGCTGTTGCCAGCAAAGGCCAGCTCAAATGAGTTCTCTCTTTGTAGCTCTGACAACAGAAGAGAATTGGATGCTTTGCCGGTACCTACACTATCAGAGGAGGGGACGCCGTTTGTCACAGATGTCTGAGAACTCTGGGGACAAGCTGTCTGGAGAAGCTGGTGATGCTGGAGCTGGAGCATTCTGAACAAAATCCAAGGACGGAAGAGGTTAACTTGCATTCTTCCTTTCTTGCCCCCACCCCCGACCATAATTTCCCCTTTGTTTCCTTCTCTCTGTCAAACCTCTCCTTACCCAGCCAGTACAGCTAAAGCAAATTGATCATGCCAGGTCAACATGTTTTCACTCCGCTTTTCCTCATGTTGGAGAGGGCGACTATGACTAGAAAGTTATCTAGTCACTATTTAGCTTGCTAATAATAGATGTTCTAGAGACAACGTGTGCAGATAAACCGGAAACTCAATTTTCCATCTTGCTTCTATGGGAATGAAGAGGTGCCACCGCACATGACGTTTGAGGCCACTGGAACTGTGCCTCCTTTGTGGGCTGTAACTTTTCCAAATTACAAGGTCTCACTTCCTTGCCATGGGAAAATTACAGGAGGAGGCAGAGGAGGAAAGAAATCATTCCCAAAACTAACAAAGAAAAACACAGCCTGCAATGGGGAGAAGTAATGTTTTCCCCCACAGTACCAAACTGCTTCTCAGTTCAGCAACCTCCAAATATTTGGACGTCGAGATTTCTGAGTGGAACTGCACATCCTGTGTTACGTATGCCAGTGCAGGAAGCCACAGAGGAAGCCAAGCAGTTTATCTGCTGCCACACAGCAAAGATGGAGGATAGGAATCCCCAGTGACTAAACTCCCCAACCTCTTTTGCTATGTTTACTCCTCCTCACTTGCCCCTAACCAAAGTAACTCCAATGAAAACAGCAAAACTCTTCCCAGCCAGCTTCTCACCTCTGCTGCTGTAGCACCTCCTCCAGGAGGCTTCTTCCCTCTCTGCCACTCCCGCTGCTGCTGTACATGCAGGTGTTCGGCTGTGTGTGTTGGAAAGCACTCATGGCACTCCTTGCTGCCCGAGATGAGGAGGACTGACACACCTGCCGAGCAAAGCCTTTGATTTTATTCAAGCCGAGAAACCCCTTGGTTCGAGCGTTCTTCCGCAGCTGCTGCCTAAAAGCCTTCAAGCCTGTGAGACACGAGGAAAAGAAATGCACTTTAATCCTCCTCAGCATTTGCCTAGGAGCCTACTTTATAGATCAGCCTTTCTGGGCAGCTGTCTTCATTTGTATGAGAACTGCACTAGAAGAGACCATGACTTCAGTTCACATTCACCCCCTCTGCCTGATGGTCAGAGCAAAATTTATGCAATGGAACAGGGTTTGAGACTGCTGCACCCTTGTGTAGATGGACACGTGCACAGGAAAGGAGAAACCTGAGAGAAATCATGATGTTGTGCACTCCTCTGTATTTTAGGAGGAAGGCGGAGTCTGCCATCCCACTCACGGTAGCAGAAATATGTTCACGGGCCCACCGAATCAGTCTAGGCACCTTCCTCGGGGCATCCGACCCTCCCTCGTGGACCATGAATATGAGAAGCAGAATATCCAGGTGGCTGACCTCAGTGTAACACTAGCAGGGGCAAGCAAGCATCCCTGCATGCTACCCTTTTCTAGTGGCCGTTGGAAGGGCACAATTCCCCAGCAATAAAGCAAGGAAGACATTACCTTGAGTTAATGAGGTATCAGATGCTCGCCTTCCTTCTTGGAAGCTGACAGGGAGGAGAGAAGCACCTCCCATGCAGCCCTGGGCTTGTAACACCGGAGCGTCAGACTGGGAAGCTAGAAAGGGCGACGTCATCCTAGCTGTGGCTGGGCTCCCCGTCATTACTTGACCTGCCAAACAGCTGCTCAGGGCCACTGAGCTGTCATTTGAAGATGAAGTAAGGCAGCTGTCTGAACTAGTTCCCTCTGTGGGGCTTGCAGAGGAGGAAATGACTATACCTATGGAGGGGAAGGAAGGAGAGAAAGAGCATTCCCAAGATGAGTACAGGAAGGAACAAACATGACATCAGAGCCTTCTTCTGCCCACCTACACTGGCACTAATAAGCAGCTGCGAGCCACAGAGGTGTCCAGCAACTCATGTTGTCGTAGGGCTTGACTCCAGTCATCAATGAATAACCTATGTTTGGGCTCCCATCCAGCCGACAGGGCTCTGCCAGCAACTCCAGCACCACCAGGGTATGCTGGATCAGGCCTACAGCATTGCTTTAGCACAACAGCTCTGACATGGGAGTATTGTTTTGTGAACCATTTGGTTGTTTGTTTAGTTCACGGGGTCTGGATGTTTACCAAATACTGTCAGTGATAAGCTTTTTTTTTTTTTTTTATTTCAGGAGTTCAGGCTCGCCCACCTCCCTCGACACAACACCGGAACCAAGCAGAGAACAGTTATGTCCTGCTTGCGAGAATGCCCCCCTCTGAAGAAGTGATCTAGATGAAACACAACAGTGCAATGTCTCTTCCTTAAGGGCCATGCTTATTTACAGGAAGACAGAACTGTGGAGGGCAGAGTACACATCTCTTTTCTGGGCTTTCCTATCCCAGTCAAGGTAAAATCAGCACATTTGTCCTCTATGGCTCTCCTCCTCTGTCCTTCTCCTCTAACTATGGACACCCTTCATCTCTCCCAGACTTACTTACATGGAGGGGCGTGCTGATAGAAGTGAGTGGTCACTTCGGCCAGTGTGTGCCTCCTGCTGGTGTTGCTAGGGATGCGGATGGGGTGGTCATATGCCTTAATTTCATCTTCCAGCTCCTTCTCTTGCCTTACTTCTTCACTAATGGTGGTCTCCAGCAGGCTGTTGGGGGAGATGGAACGGTTCCGGAAGAGCCCATTGAAGTTGGGATCCACAGGGAAGAACACAGGCTGCAAAATATGTCAGATCACAGACTGAAGGGTGTTTGACTTACTTCCACGCTACCTTCACAGCCCTGTGGCATGACTTCAGCGGGTGTACTGTTTGAGAGGTTACTATGACACCATGCTCAAATGCCAAACCAAAGATTGGAAGGAGAGAACAACAGAATCACAACCCCTGTTGTTTTGGATTGGCAGAACAATGGGGGAAAAGTCACACAGTTTAGCTGAGAACACCAACCTGTAACGGATTGCTCATGTCACAGTCCATTTCTGCCTGCAAGGATGGCTGAATCAGGCTCTGAGGTTGCTGGTAAAGCAGAGATGATCGCAGGGTTTCAGTAGTGAGACTGTCCTGAGGCATCTGGCGAGAGAGAGCGATGCACAGAAGCCATCACATACACCGCAGTTCCACATGACTTTTCAGATACTGGAGGCTCAAGGAATTTCAGAGCCACCTTCCGTGCAAGCTTTCTCCACGTACTTTCTATGAAAATTAACAAAGCTAGTCTTTCAATGCCAACACAAACACAAAACTCCCTCTCCTCTAAGTTAAGCAATTTAACTGGAAGTACAATTTGAAAAGGAACTCAGAGCATATTTTAAAGGGAGTGGGGATGAGGAAAAGAAAAAGAAATGTTGGAAAAACACACAAACTGACTCATGGAGCACTTCTGAGGATCCTATGGGGTATGTAACAAAGAAGTGTAACTGATCCATGCCTAAGAGGGCAAATTTCCACAAGAAGCCTAACCTGGCTCATTATTGACCTGCACTGGAGGCAGCCTATTCTTTGGACCGTGACCTGCAGTCACTTCTTAGGAAATAGGCCATTAGTATTCATTCAGCCTCCTGATGAAGAACAGTAGGCTGTGTCCTATCAGAGGGCACCAATAGCAGAACTGGTTTTCAGAACCCTGAGAGTGACCACCTTGTGTTTTCACATAGCAAGGGGCAGGAAAAAAAGAGAGCCAACAGACATAGCTTCCCAGGTGAGTAATGTCCTTCCTTACCTCAACATTGCTGATCTCAGAGCTCCTTGGCCTTTGCTGACGGCCAGTTGCTGGACGACTCGATAGCTGGCTGCTTCGATACTCCTTGAGGCGCTCCAAGAGCAGGTAATAAATTGCAGCAAAATGGTTGTAGCTGCTGTTTTGCAGAGACTAGAAGACATTGAAAGGACCCTTGAGTTACAGGTAACTCAGGATATAAGCAGACAAATCTCATCACTAAGGCCTCATAATAGCACAGTCAAAAAATAACTAAAAATCCAGAAGGGCAGTGAACGACACTGTGGCATGGGATCAAGGCTAGCCACTGAATGATATATATGTAGACACAACTGCACCATTGGCATTCTGGTAGTCACTGAAGAGGTATCAAAGGGGCAAGCACTTCTCACCTCAACAGTTCTCTGCCTGTCGATGCCAAGTGTTTGCATGATCCCAAGGACCTGTTCATTGTAGTCACCCAGGTTGGAGTTGTAGTTTTGCATGGAGAAGGACAAAGACTGCTGCTGTTGAAGAGATGGGTCAGCTTGCATCCACTTGTGCTGCTTTATTTGGGAAATGGTTATTCGCTTCGTTGGGTCCACAACCAACATCCGTCGGATTAGTGTTTCACAGTCTGGATGGCAAAGATAAACTCATGAGCAAGAGGTAAAAATAACAGCCCAGCCCCACGTCACTGCTAAGAAACCTTCCCAGCAACAGTGTATGAAGTCTGTGAAAACGGGAATTAAAGGTTTCTGAGCAGCTGATGCCTGGCCTGACTACCAGATATTCAAACCAGCACAAGAAAGGTCCAGGTACATTTCACAAAAGCAACACGTCACCACAGGAAATGAAGCTGTGCTGGATACCAGCAGGCTTCAGGTGGCCTGGCACCTTGTTGGAGAGCTACTTTTGAGTGGATGCAGGCTTAATGATGTTACGTCCACTTAAAATAGGTCAGAATTTAGTACAGAACCCCATCGTGTACAGCTTCCTGGTCCATGTACACTGCCTATTTGTTTAGAACCAGGGAATCAAATCTATTTGCAGCTATAACTGGTAAAATACTCTTGACTTGAAGAGAGGGGCACATTCACTTGTTTTCGACACCAAATCAGAGACACATGATAATACTCTTCAGTTCTTTTTCCTCACCAGACTGTTAAAGTATGAGTATTCAAGAAACAGTTCAAAGCCCCACTATTTCTGCTCTCCTTGACAGCACAGCCACACCGATATATACCCCTTGTGCATAGTTAAAATATCTGAGAACTACACCCATCTCATCATTGCAGGCTGGTCTCATTAAAATCCTGTTTTCTCTCTTTTGTGACTGATTATTTCTCCAGCTGGGGTGTGAAATATTTTTGTAATGCATAGAGATACTCCAAGAAAGGAAACAACAGCCTTTTAGATGCACCATAAAGCAGTCCCCGGAAAAGAAAAGGTGTGCAACCAGCCCCTGAACTTATTGCAAGCGCTGTCCTACAGAAATTACTGCATAAGTAAAGACAAAGTGACTGCCAGCTTCCAAACCAGTCCCATCTGTCATTGCCTCAAGAAGGAACAGGACAGCTATTCCTTTATCTGTAGCCCCTGTTCTAACATTAAGGATCTGAAAGAAAGCACCTTCGGACATGAAGTAAGGGATGCGGAACCGCCCCTCCAGCACTCTTTGCCTCAGAGTTGGTAAATTGGGTCCATCAAAAGGCAGAGAACCACAGACAAGGACATACAGCACCACCCCAAGGCTCTGTCAATAGAAAACAGAACAGCATGTGAGTAACTCCAGTAGAAGCAATGATTTTGAAAGCCCACAGACCCTCATGAAGTGTGAAATGCAATTGCTACGGAATATCAAGCTCACCCATATATCAAGGTGAGGTCCTTCATATTCTTTCCCTTCAAAAACTTCTGGAGCTGCATAGGGTGGGCTTCCACACCAAGTGGAGAGGGGCTCTCCAGACTTGTAGAAGTTTCCAAAACCAAAGTCTGGAACAAAGGTAAAAGTCTCAGGTAAGATATCATTCAACCACATTTCAGAAGTAGCAGAAAGTGGAGAAAAGGGAGCAGATGTATTGCTTTGTTCTCTGCCTATTCATTTAAGCTGTTCTCTTTTGTCCAGAGGGTATGTTCAGAGAAGTATCAGTAACTTTTGTTTTATTTTCAGTTACCACAAATACATTTATAGGATGATCCTAGGGAGACTGAACTTGACTACGTGCTTGATGTTGTTTATAGAGTAACCACATATTTCTTATTACCTGCTAACTTGATATTCATGTTAGCATCTAGCAGAAGGTTCTCTGTTTTGAGATCCCTGTGCACTATGTGGTGGCTGTGACAATATTCCACCGCTGAAAGAATCTGCCAGAACTTCTTCCGTGCTTCACTTTCACTTAAGTGCCCATTGGAGGTCAGATGATCTGCAAGAGAAAATAAGAGGCAGAGGATTTAGAAACACCTGGAGGGAATTTTTCATAATCCTGCAGGTGCTGCACTCGCTGTTTGACAGCTGACAACACCAACCCCGGATTTTTAGTCAGAATATACATATACTACTCAGGAATGACAACAATAAAGCCATGGTTTCTAAATCTGAAGAACTACTAGCTCTGGCAGTGAAGACTTACCAAACATTTCTCCATTCTTTGCAAACTCAGTAACAATGTAAAGCATATCCTTTGTCTCCATAACCTGTGAAGACACAAGAGAGGACATGCTTAAAAAAAAACGCAGACCTCTGTAGTTTCACTCATTTTTCTAAGTGTATTCTCAAACATATTGGTTCAATTATTTATTTGCCACAGCAGCTGGCAGTAAAGGCATCTAATTTTGCACCACAATGCTCTTTCCAAGCAAACTGGTAATGAAAAAGATAACAAATCAAAGCTTATGTGCCTACAATATACAATGGCTTCCCATGCCATTGTTCTTCTCACCGTTACCATGCCACCTAATCTCCATAGATAACTGATGAGCATTTCAATAATTTCATACGCTACCCTGAACTCCTTTTTCGTTAAAATATGCATATATAGGTTTACAATTCATTTGATCTATTTTGAACATGGAAAGAGACTTAAAGTCTACATAAAGTCGCCTTTGTTTCAAGGCTAGCAGGTACTCAGATCAGGCGAGATAATTGCAACTTGGACAAATCAAGAAGTAGTATCAAATACCCCGCTCCCATTTGGTGTTGGCCAGGGACATGGCAAGCCTCCCACGCAAGTGACAATAGGTTGCCATTTGTCTAACAGCAGTGCTTGATGCACATTGACAACTGTCATATCGCCCAGCGTTCATCTATCAATCTAGTATCAACTTCCTTTGATACTTCTCAATTTTTTCCTTTGGAGGGGAAAAAAAAAAAAAAAAGAACTAAAAAACAAACAACGAATGAGAAGTGCCGAGCATTTCCAAATTCATCTTCAGCTACTATGGCACATCTTTCAAATGTTGCATTTCAGATTTTAAAATACAACATTTCCCTGGAACTGGACTCTCAAGGAGCAGATACTTTGTTTTGGAAGCAAAGGCTCACAGCACGTTAACAATCAAAAAAGCATCAATGCTACTTCAAAGGCTGCAATTTCCAGGATCCTAACACCTAACCTTTCTCGAAGACTCTTGTCCTCCCCTCACTACAAGTACACACAGACACAGAATGAAAATAAACAAACAGGGAGCAAAAGAAAAGAGGTTCCCAGTTTAAAAAGCTGAAGGAAAGTGTTCTGGGAAAGTTGCCAGCTGGATGAAATTAAGACTCCCTGCTGAAACTAAAACAATGATGAAATAATACAAGAACACACACCCTACATTGGTATGTCATCTAATTCCATCCCTGCTTCAGTCTCCACCAAACAGGTAAAGCATCAGTTACAACAACAAAGAAAAGAAAACTTCACTGAAAAGAAATTATGGTCCACTACTAACGTCATTTGCTCCACCAAGTGAAGTGGTTCAACTAGATGGAATTTAACCTGCTTTTCTAAAAGCTTAGAAATAGTATTTTCACCCACACCATTCCACTGACATGAAATCAACCGAACTGTTAGAATGTTTCTGTATATCCTATACTGCCCTATGGGCAACAATGACGTCAGGTGTTAAGACAGAATAATTTTTGTTATGATGGTTAATACTATAAATATCAAGCACTTCATGTGTGTCAAGGTCTTTAAAAATAATGCCTTGCCTAAGCACCTGCATTACTGGCTCCTCAGCCTTACACATTAATTAAACTTTTTTTGTTGGTTTTTTTTTTTTTTTTTTAAAGCTAACAAACCCAATGGTAAGATTGCAGGTGATAATAGTGTTTACTACTGCACACAGACTTTCAGACCTGCTGCTTCATCCGCCTATCCCTCTCTCCTCCTCTGCCCTTCTAGACAGGTCCAGACAGACTACGATACCTCATCGTCTTCTTAAATCCACATGGCACTATTTAAGATGATTAAGAGGAACTTACACCAAATGCTAATTAGATCAAATATTTAGAATTTGCAAAACAGTCCTTGCTCACTAGACAGTTGTGATCCCGTTCCCTGCACAACACATTAACTTGTTCCTACTGTTAAAAACACCCATCAGTGCAGAAACTGAACAAATCTAAACCAAAATCCGTGTTGTGAAACTCTGCAAGGGGAAAGATATTTAAAATTCACTTTCAAACTACACAAACTGGAACAGAATAACCAAGCGGGTCATTTTTTGACATATTCTGAGATATACCAACATTTACAGGTTTTTTCTTTTCTACTTTGAATTCTAATTCTTAGATCGATTTGGTTTCCTTGTCGTTGATTTAAATCCTTTCCACTTACGGCACACTCAACTTTTGCGCTTTCTCCTCTGCTATCCTACACGAGTTTAAGTCCTCCCCTTATCAAAAGCATGTAAGAAGTTCCAGTCCTCTAAACTGGAAAAGCAGTTAAGAGTTAAGAAAGGCAAGTTAATCACAGAAGTTCAGATAATAAGTTCCTTGATGTGAAACAAACTTCAGCTTGGTTTTAACTGTAAATTTTACAGTGCATTTTGTCAAAAACCTGCCTAACGTATCAGAGTCTCGTACAAAGAATGATGAATGACTTTTAAAAAACCCACTTTAAGTGTTTTTCAAAAAGTATTTCAATATGCATTCTCTCTGCCAATATTTGACATAAAATCATGTGCAAGAGAAGAGCACAAGCATATCTGCATGCTGCACTTCAAAGCTGACCTCTTACCTGATAGAGCTTGATAATATGGGGATGATTCAAAAGCTTCATTATCTGAACTTCTCTATAAATCTTCTCCAGATTGCTTGGGTCTAACCTTGTTTTGTCTATTATTTTTATTGCAACCTGCAGATTTAAAAAATAATAATATAACCCCAGACATTAAAAAACAGGTACTGTTAAGATCTCTTAAAACCCAAGAAAACGAAAAAAGACACACATACACACACACACACACCGCCGCGCATACACACAAACTCACAAAATCCAAGCAAAGTAGCTTTTAAAGTACAGACTTGACAAAGCTGATTCTGTTTTTCTGAACTGCACAGAATTCATGGCACAGAACATTTTCATTTTTTCTTTTCTACGTCAAAGGATTACACATAAGGTAGCGAACAGAACTGCAGAAATTAGCACTGGACAGGATTCGGTAAATCTTTTAATCCACCCCATGCCAGTGCAAAACAGATTCCAGTAACAGACAGTTTTCTGCCGTAGCGACCGATACGATTTTGACATGCACTACAAATGGAAATAGGGTTGCACGCCTGCTAACAAATTATTGTTGCAAATAACACTGCAAGTTCTTTGTTCTTGAAACGTACCCGTTGAATGAAAAAATTAAACCCGCCTAAAGTCTTCGAAAGAGCCTTAATTTGTTGGGCTCGCTAACAGACTCAGACGGAGGGGTTCAGTGAGGCTACCGTGTAGCGCTCAGGAACGTGGGGTTTTTTGGTTGGTTTTTTTTTTGGTTTTTTTTTTTTTTTTCATACATTC